TGTTTCCATGATCTTAAGCAGTCAGTGGTGTGAAGAAGTCAGGAGTAAAGGATATTGGAAAAGGTGATCTCTGATAATCTTTTAGAATCAGTCAACAATTGTAAAAACATTGTTGATCTTTAAAGTTGACATTGTCTGGTAGTGGAGTATATTGTGTTGATATTTCAAGATAATTTCCATATTAGTTAAAGAGTTACAGAAGGATATGTTGTTTATTATATATTGAAGATGAACTTTCCTTATAAGTTAGACCTCAATCGGGACTGTGCATGACACTTTTGTCTTTTGGCGATGCAAGTTGCACCAGTGTGTCATGGGGATATTTCATTGTTGGGTTAGGTTGTGAGTGAATACAGACAGATTTCTGTACTGTATCCAGGGTACTGCTGTAACCTTGAAGGTTAAGTCCCCACTTGGTCCATGACGTATTGCCTGGCAGTTGCTACATTGTGTTAATGTACCTTGATATCCTTTTGGTTCATAGGTTTCAGGGTTGACATGAACACTTCATTAATATGCCTAATTTTATCCTTGAAGATACGGACAAAATATTTGACAAATTTCATTCCATGCATAATGTGGTAAAGCTTCATTGAGATGCAATATTTCAGTTTAAAGTTATGGTCCTGGAGGGAGGGAGGACAAATAGCCTAATTTGCAGTGCTGGTGAACAAATCTGTTTCTGTTTAATTAAAAACCTGTTGTACAAAGTAGGTTTCAGTAAAGTGGGGCCATTTGTTTTAGGATACTTTTATTATTTTCCTGGTGGGGTGGAGATGACATCATGCCAGTATCATTTTGATCTCTACATTTGCATTTTTTTTAGTTTATTTAATCAATTTATCATATTTCAGCTCAAAAACAGGCTGTACTGTACGAGAATTGGCAACTGCATATCAGAATCACATTGGAGAAACCCTTAATGAGGTTGAAGAGCTAACTTGAGGAGTGTGAGGTGTGTTTATAAGTGGTTGAGTTCGTTACTCTGGTAAAAAAATGTATACAGTATAGTCTTTCATTTGTGCGGCAATTGAACCCGTGGAGGTCACGAGAAACGTAAACGAAATAACAGAACATATGGGATTTATTGAAATAGAGACTAATCTCAAACTACACTTTTCTGACACAATAGTACGTTGTAGTAAAAATAACATCTTAATTTTATGATGGTATGCACACACAATTAATATTTAAGAGAAATATCAATAATATTAGGTTTTTAACACTTACATTAGTAGAAAAGATGGCTGGGCACACGAGGATGGGGGTTGTTTGAGGCAGAGGGCAGATTAATTGGCCTCACCTGTATCACTTGTATCAATTGTATCACTATCCACCACAGAGGCTTGCAGGGCCTCTTTGTCAAACCCCTCAAAGTCCATATCCTCACTATCACTGACTTGGGCTGGCCGTGGTGGGTGGCGGTGAAGAACTCGGTAATGTTTTGTTGACTGGGTGACCTTGTGTGCACTGCCCGCGCCGCTTTCCGAAATGATGGAATGAACCGTGAAATAAAAATTGCCAGTCTGGCAAGGTGCCGGTGAAATGACCAAACGCTGCAGTGAGACTATACTGTATATATATTTTTAATCCTCCCAGTATAAGTCAGTGAGTTGTGAGTAATTTTATTGCTTGTCCATGACTCCTGTATTTGTGATGGCCACATAAAGCAAATATCCATTTCTGTTTATATAATGGCTATTTTATCTTTCAGGTAACACACTCCCCAGCCTTATGTAACACGACATGCACGAAGTTAGACATGCAAAGGTGAGAAGCTCCTCTTGGTTATATGTAAAGTTTTAGAAAATATAGTACAGTATTTGAGAAATTATTACTAAACCTGACATGAATATAATAGGTTGAGGTGCATTTATACAGGAGTAAGTTACTAATGCAAATTAGACTTACACTACAGTAATTGAAAGAAAGCCATTGACTATGCTAGTGAACAGGACGTTGTCTCTGCCAGAAGTCATTAATGTTTAAAGATATTTATTGCCACCACCAACAGGGTCATGTGAATAGGCCTTTCAGCAAGCTGTCTTAAGTTGCTATTTCTGACTGTTGGCATACTTAATATGAGTTTGTTTGGTTTTTTCTGGTGCAATCTGATATGCACAGGGACTGTCACTTAGTCTAAAGATATAAGGCTAACCAACCATTTACAAGAGTTTCCAATTTACTTTTTTTCTTTTTAGATATTACAAATAATATATGATTGCTATATCTCATGGTTGTTAGCTTTCAATCAGTCCTACCCAAAAGGAGGTGAGTTTTGATAGTAATCATTGAAATTTGTAAATGGCTTCATTATGTGTGTTATGTTTTGTGTATTTCGAGTGTTTCTGGCATGACCATTTTGTTCTTGAGGTTTCTGTTTCCTTGATATGCCCTATGTATACAGTATAGAGCAGAGAATAGAAAATTACAAAATGTAGATAGAATAATAGTGTAAATTACATAAAATGTACTATTTAACATTAATGAAGAACTTATTACTGTACTGTTACGATTATATATTCATTTCTAGAAGCCTCAAATGTTCCTTTAACAGGGTGAGAGTTCAACAAGAACTATCGCAGGAGTTTAAAACGTGCCCTAGAGATTGCAAGAGGTGCCGAGTTGAAAAGCAATGAAATATTCGGAGGTTTGATTTTTTCAGTACTGAGAGCATTTACTTGGGCTAACATACAGTACTGTAAATGTAAGGGTATTGTTAATTAGGAGGTGGTAATATTAGAAAGGGAAATTAATGGGTTCACAGGGTTCACAGGAATTACAGTATGCAGTGACTCTCGTTTATATGACACCTTATCGATTATGAAATTTGAGGATTCTTGAACTGCCTTCCGCAGAGATCTTCAATTGAGTTAACGAACAAAATTGATTCTTAATTTCACCAGGCTTAAACCTCAACATGTTTTCGCTTACTGGCAGACAGCAGCTTTAGTATCAGTCCGCCAATACATTAATGGGATACAAGGGCAATTACTTTCAACCTTTTAAGTAAATATAAAGAAGTTTATACTGTTAATAATTTTAAAGAAGTTTAATGTTAATTTTTTAGTCATTTAACAATTACAGTATTGAACATAATTGAAGGTAAAGTGACTAGTTTAAAAGCAACATCGGCCTCTTAACACAGCAAACAGGCGTTAGTCTCTCTGCTTTTCTTTCCATTAACATCTTTGTGAGACTCTCTTCAATAAAGCTTGCTTTTTCTGTGTTTCCAAGCAAATTAATGAGTGTTTTGATATATTTTACATAAGCAATATAAAATACTAAGGTAATGTTGGTTAAAAATAATCTGAGAAGCTTACCAGAGAACTAAAATTTTATAGAATTGCAGCAATAATTGCCATGGGGTGACTTCTCTTCCACCCCAATGCCTTCTCTTCTTCCTTCTCCTCCACCCCCATTGTAATTCCCATCATCATCATCATCATCCAGGAGCCTTCTACATACACACCTCAAAGTAAGTGAACTTTTCTACCATTTTTGTTGAATTTAGGAAATTTTCGGTGAGCTGGAACCAATTACCCAAAAACCCATTGAAACTATGGTTTCGGTTAACGAACTTTTCGGTTAACGAACGACCTTCTGGAACGGATTGAGTTCGTTAACCGAGGGGTCACTGTATTGGTGCTTATTGTTTATCAGAACTATTTCACCATTAAACAGCTAATAAATGTTTAATGTTCGTGAGTTGTAATGGGTTGTGGAGGTTGTGTTGATTTTTATTTGCAAAGAAGCTATTCGGGTTTACTTACATTTTGAAATGTGCAGATATAATGGCCCTTTCCCCCAAAAAACTAACTTTACTTTAATCATTGATATCTTATGAAATGATAGTGTGCTGTATTTGCATCACCTGGCTGTATTTATATACAGTATACTATCCTTCATATATGGTCACTCTATGTATGTATTGTATATTGGTGCATCCCTCTTAATGGCCAAAATCCACATGTACAGCACCTAGAATTTGAAATTCCTTTTAGTTATTAAACTTGTAGTATGGTAAGCATTTCCTTTGTGCATCTTTGTTCTTAGATTAGTTCTTCCTGTTCATCCACAATTTCTTCCTCACTTGTATAGCAGTAAACATAGAATTTTTTTAAATAAAGTATGTTTCTTTTTCATGGGACTACTTTGCCACTACCAAACCCTATTATTTTGAGTGAACTCTACCTACTTAAATGCATTCTTTGTAAAGTACAGTAGATAGCAACTGTACACTCTTCAAGTTTTCGATGTCCATTCTTACAATGAAACCTCCATATAATGGATTCCTCTCTCCATATAATCTGTTAGATGGGGTTTCATATCAAATGGATCCTCAATATAAGAGACTTTTATCTCTATCTAACATACTGTAGTTCATTAGATGTGGGATTCACATAAAACGGGTCCTCTATATAGCGGAGTCTCCTTTCTACATTGTCCGTTAAATAGAGGTTTCACTGTAGTGTACAGTAATTTAATTTTGCAATGGGTAACAACAAACAGTATAGTACAAGTATTGCACCCTTTTTTACTCATAAACCTTATTACCAGACTTGAATCAATCAGAACTGTACTGGTATAATTGCAGATTTATGAAATGTATGTACAGTACAGTATTTATATTTACTGTACGAGGCAGTGGTGAAAGATTACTGTATTAAATGAATGGTTTGATTAATGTTAGTCCTCATATACTGAGATCACATACTGTACTGTACTGGGAATGGTAATTATTGGAGAGCGGTTCTTAGTATGACAGCGCTTGACGTATATACCAATATTGTTAACAGTGGCCTGGCATTCTTAAAAAAAAAATTACTTTTGTGATGTGGTTTAATCAAAGATGGCATTTATTGTTTAGCTTTAATCAAGAATATTAAGTTGTTAATCCCTGGAATGTTCTTCAATGGTGGCTTCATCATATCTTCATTGTTTTATGCCCATTTCTCTTGTCAGGTTTCTATCTCTCAGATAATTCGTGACTTCTCCCCATGTCAGAATTACCTGTAAGTATTTCATAGTTAAATTTATGGAGGGGTTAGTGTATGTTCCATCATATTAAGATAAATCAAATGCATGCAGCAAATTTCGTGTTTCATCTTGAAAAAAAGCTGAACTATGTCAATAATATATTAACTCACTGTATTTATTTCAGACTCCAGACTCCCAGAGAGTTCGGATAAAGCCCCCTGCCAGAACCCCACCTGCAACTTGTACTTCAGATAAGGTACTGTATTTTCAAACTTGGGTGTTTTTTTGTATTTTTCTTATTACTGTTATAGTTGTGCTGTCCAACTGAGTCATAAACTCAATTAAAAGAGATATAAATAGGGATTAAAAATATAAGGAGTGAGCTTGATCATCTTTATTTCTCTTCCACAATTTGGTGATGTGAACTACAGGCAGTCCCCGAGTTATGAATGGGATCCAATACATTCACTACAAAAATCTCTAAGATCCCATATTTTACATTACTTTACTTTCATTATTCTGTATTGTTTAACATCACTTTATTTACAGTATTTACATTATTTGTTATGTATGGGATATTATTGTTGTTTTATATGGATGGCATTCTATACTTTAATCTCTTCTACTTATCACTTCAACTGGAAGAAGCAGTTGCTGAGCATTTAGACATTTTGGAAAGGTCGGCATTTGCTAAACTCCAGGGGAATTGTAGCAGTAAGTGGATATGTCCTTGATTTGAGTGACACCTTGTTTGCAGCTGGGGAAATGTGCAGTAGTATTACATACTGCATATGGTATACTCTATATACAATATACACTTTCCTTTGTTCTGAATGATGCCTTTACTAAATTTTATAATTGATATATTTTTTTCCTATGTAGGTTATTCGACCAAAGAAGATTTTACTCAGCAGCAGCAGCAGTACCCATGGTAGCTCTCGTGATACACCAAAAACTTTCTCAAGAAGTCGGCTGATGCTTACCTCGTCATCCTCGGTAAAACACAAGATACAAAAGGTTTTGCATACAGTATTTATTATATACAGGAACACCCTGGTTAATGAGAGGGCTAAGGACTGACGGCAGTTGTTTAAAACCTGAAAAGTAATTCACTATAGCACTGTTCGTCATACACCGATGTTACTGAAAATAGATTCAAGACATGGCAACAGTGCAGCAGCAACTGCAACATTAGAAATATATAATTCTTATGCTAACAGCCATTATATTTTAGTGTATTTTGTTCTAAGTCTTTTAATGAATAAGATAATAACTGTAGCAGTATTTTATTTTTATTATCAAAAGTATCATGTAAATTGGACTCTCTCTCTCTCTCTCTCTCTCTCTCTCTCTCTCTCTCTCTCTCTCTCTCTCTCTCTCTCTCTCTCTCTCTCTCTCTCTCTCTCTCTCTCTCTCTCTCTCTCTCTCTCTCTCTCTCTCTCTCTCTCTCTCTCTCTCTCTCCCTCTCTCTCTCTCTCTCTCTCTCTTCTCTCTCTCTCTCTCTCTCTCTCTCTCTCTCTCTCTCTCTCTCTCTCTCTCTCTCTCTCTCTCTCTCTCTCTCTCTCTCTCTCTCTCTCTCTCCCTCTCTCTCTCTCTCTCTCTCTCTCTCTCTCTCTCTCTCTCTCTCTCTCTCTCTCTCTCTCTCTCTCTCTCCCTCTCTCTCTCTCTCTCTCTCTCTCTCTCTCTCTCTCCTCTCTCTCTCTCTCTCTCTCTCTCTCTCTCTCTCTCTCTCTCTCTCTCTCTCTCTCTCTCTCTCTCTCTCTCTCTCTCTCTCTCTCTCTCTCTCTCTCTCTCTCTCTCTCTCTCTCTCTCTCTCTCTCTCTCTCTCTCTCTCTCTCTCTCTCTCTCTCCCTCCCTCTCTCTCTCTCTCTCTCTCTCTCTCTCTCCTCTCCCCTCTCTCTCTCTCTCTCCCTCTCTCTCTCTCTCTCTCTCTCTCTCTCTCTCTCTCTCTCTCTCTCTCTCTCTCTCTCTCTCTCTCTCTCTCTCCTCTCTCTCTCTCTCTCTCTCTCTCTCTCTCTCTCTCTCTCTCTCTCTCTCTCTCTCTCTCTCTCTCTCTCTCTCTCTCTCTCTCTCTCTCTCTCTCTCTCTCTCTCTCTCTCTCTCTCTCTCTCTCTCTCTCTCTCTCTCTCTCTCTCTCTCTCTCTCTCTCTCTCTCTCTCTCTCTCTCTCTCTCTCTCTCTCTCTCTCTCTCTCTCTCTCTCTCTCTCTCTCTCTCTCTCTCTCTCTCTCTCTCTCTCTCTCTCTCTCTCTCTCTCTCTCTCTCTCTCTCTCTCTCTCTCTCTCTCTCTCTCTCTCTCTCTCTCTCTCTCTCTCTCTCTCCCTGTCTCTCTCTCTCCCTCCCCGCTACCAAGTGGTCGTCCAGAGGCTCCGCCCACAATTGTGTGAAATGAGTGACGAACAGTGCTATAGAAACCTTGTCATCACGGGGGTTAGGTTCTGAACTGCTTCACAAAACCCCAAGTTTGCTATGATTTTGCCTAAAATAAAGATTACAAACTCCTGTGACTTTCATACTATATTTGCCAGTGTATGTTTGTATTTTTCAAATTCTTTTTACTGTATTATTATTATTATTATTATATATTTTCATTCTTCATAATCAAGTTTTGAAGTTTAATCATGTTTTATTACAGAAATTTGGTGACCCAAATGAAGCTAAATACCCAACGAACATAGTTACTGGAATAACATCATTCATCAAAATACAACCAGCAAAGCCATCACGTGAGGAGAAGCGACAAACAGGACTGCAAAAGAAGAGGGATCGAGAGGATGAGACGATAAAAAAGAAAGAAGAATTATTAAAATTGAAAGCAGAGGGGCAGAAAAGGTTGGTCAGGAGATAAATATCTAGAAATATGAAAGTCAGAGCTGTTCTTAGGATTCATAATTCAAGTTTTATCTGAGTGTCAAATGGATTGTTGCATGAATAATGGGAGAACAAGGTGTTGGGTGGTTTAATGAATCTTGTATGAATTGTCATTAATTTTATTCAATTATTATTTTATAACAGACGCAACGAGGAAAGGATGAAGCGGGTACAGGAAGCTCGTGAAGAAAGAGAGCGTAAGGCTATAGAAGCAAAGAAACAACAAGACAGAGATAGAAAGAACAGAGAGGAGCGACTAAGAGAACAGCAGCAGCAGCACAGAAAGCAGCAACTTCTTGCTAAGAGACGTGCAGAAGAGGCTAGAGTTAAGAAGATTAAAGAACAGGTAGGTTTAAGCAGTAACCTTGGAAATTAAATTATTCATAGTTGCGTTGAATTTAAAACTCTCGTATATATTTACTATACAGTAAACCCTCGATAAATCAGCACATCTGGGCTCTGGCCTTGCTGAGGTATACCAGATTCTGACTTATCGAGGCCTTTCCCCCTTCATACAAAAATCATCGACCCATATGTGTGTGTGTACAGGTAATTACTAAATATACAAAAAGTAACACTTACCAGCACTGCAGGCGAAGAATGGAGCATCATTGTAGGTGACACAGAGGTATGGTAGGTGACACAGAGGTATGGTAGGTGACACAGGCATGGTAGGTGACACAGGCATGGTAGGTGACAGGCATGGTAGGTGACACAGGCATGGTAGGTGACACAGGCATGGTAGGTGACACAGGCATGGTAGGTGACACAGGTGTGGTAGGTAACACAGATTCATGGTAGGTGACACAGAGGTATGGTAGGTGACACACAGGCATGGTAGGTGACACACAGGCATGGTAGGTGACACACAGGCATGGTAGGTGACACACAGGCATGGTAGGTGACACACAGGCATGGTAGGTGACACAGAGGTATGGTAGGTGACACACAGGCATGGTAGGTGACACACAGGCATGGTAGGTGACACAGAGGTATGGTAGGTGACACACAGGCATGGTAGGTGACACAGAGGTATGGTAGGTGACACACAGGCATGGTAGGTGAGACACAGGCATGGTAGGTGACACAGAGGTATGGTAGGTGACACAGGCTACCAGATATGCCGAGATTTTTGCTGTTGACAACACAATATACATAATGTATGTCGTTTCTCACTCTTGATTTTTTTTTTTTACTATTTACGGTTATTTATTATTATTACTGTTATTTTGTTTATTAAAATTTTTATTAATTTTAATTAATTACACCGGTCAACGCAATTTTTCTGGCACAAGGTTTTTAAACGGATTTTAAGTAAATTTGGGGTGTAGAATCCAAATATGACTGGTTTTTGTCTATCACATCAGGTTTTTGAGATATACCATATTGCACTTTTGCTGGGAAACGTAAACTTTTGGATCAAAATTGACGGTTTAAACATGTATACATAAATTTTTTCAGCATTATAATTTGTATTTTTCTATAACCAAAAATTTTTAATATCAAATTGGAAAGTTAATGCACATATAATATTTAAATGTAACATTGAAGGGTGAAAAAAAACAATTAATGTGCGGTAGAAATAGTGCAAGTATTAAGATCAAGTTACAGTTACATAAACTTCCTCTTTTTGGCCGATCTCTTATGTACAGCTTCTGGAATGTCTCTCATCAAACTCCAGCAGTAGTCCGCCATCATGTTCGAGTCCCATCGACCTTGGTAACGTTCTTCCATTACTTTAATGTCTTGATGAAAGCGCTCCCCTTGCTCCTCGCTCACTTCTCCCAGATTTTCTGGAAACTCGTCCAAGTGACTGTGTAAGTAGTGAACCTTGATACTCATTCTGCATCCAAGTGCTTGTAAACTCAAGAGCAGCTCTTCCACAATTTCTTGATAGTTGTCCGCTTTCTTGTTCCCTAAGAAGTTCCGCACCACATTAGAGAAAGCATTCCAAGTTCTTGCCTGTGCCTCAGTCATTGTTGCAAGGAAGTGTGGATCTCTGAGTAGTGTTCTTATTTGAGGTCCATCAAAAATCCCTGCCTTTTTCTTCTCGTCGCTAAGACTTGGAAAGGTTGAGCATATATATCTGAAACACTCTCCACTATGATCAAGAGCCTTGACGAATTGCTTCATGATCCCAAGTTTTATGTGCAGAGGAGGAAGGACAATGTTTTTCCTGTCAACCAGAGGATCGTTAATGATATTCTTGTCACCAGGCATCAAACTATGTCTTGGTGGCCAATTCTTTTTCACCCAATGGTCTGCTGTAGCCCTGCTGTCCCAGTAGCACAGAAAACAGGGGTATTTTGTGTACCCTCCTTGCTGGCCCAATAGAAAGTTTACCATTTTCAAGTCCACACAAATTAACCATTCATGAGCATGGTATTGCAACCTCTCTAGAACAGTCTTAAAGTTTTCATACTCTTCTTTAATTTGTACAGAATGTCCGATTGGAATTGAACCATACAGTTGTACCCCACTTAACGTGGTCAATAGAACCCAGAGGGTCCCGTGCTAAGTGAAATCCGCGTTAAGTGAACAACAGAACATATGGGATTAATTCCAATAGAACCCAGCCCGACCCCCAAACTCCACTTTTTGACGACAAATAACTATGTTGTAGTAAAAATTCTATCTTAACTTTATGATGGCATGAAAAAACAAGTAATATAGAAGAGGTTAGGTTAGGAAAGATAAAGGTTAACATAGGAAAAATAAAGAATAGGTTAAAAAACGAAAAATTTTGCGGAACACTTACGGTAGTAGAAGAGATGGGTCGGCATACGGGGATGGAGGCTGGTTCCGAGGCAGAGGGCAGATTACTGGCCCTCAGGTGAATCACCATTACTAGGTGAATCACCATTACTAGGTGAATCAACATCACTGTCACTTACAGTTGTCAGGGCTTCCCTGACAAATCCCTCAAAGTCAACTTCACTTTCACTATCACTGGCTTGGGCTGGCTGTGGTGGGTTGCGGGCGAAGAAATCTGTTATGCTTTGCTGACGGCTGGTGTTGATGTTGTCGTGATACACCTTGATGTACGGCTCCATAGCCTGCACCAGTCGGGTATGGAAGACGTCATAGCGTTCATCGTCATTGTCGCGGGAAAGGACGGACTTAATTTTTTCTGTAAACTCTATGACACACTTAATATCACTATGACTTAAACTAGGTTCTTCGGAGAATGACGCACCTTCTTCCTCCTCTTCACTGGCGTGTTCTTCTTCCAACATCTCGTCGGCAGTCACTTCAGGATCTTTGATCACCTCCAGGATGTCTTCGTTGGTGGTCTCGGAGAAGCCTTCAGCTGTAATATTGAGCGCAGCTTCTCTGGCAAGGTCCACTGCTACTGCAACAGTCTGAACCTCACCAGTCACAGGTTCACTCCTCCTCTCACCTGGTATGCCATGCAACACATGTCTCCATGCGTGACGAATCGTAGCAATAGTCAGCAGATCCCATGCCTCCACCAAGAAGTCTACAGCTTGTTTAACGTTAAACTTCTTCCAAAATTGTTTGACGAGAAGTTCTTGAGTCGCCGCCTCTTGTTCCTTGTCCTCGTCGCTTTTGCTCTCGCTGTCGGTGTCACCCAGCTTACGCAACTCATCCTTGGTGTTGGTAGAGTCGTTCAGGAGCTTGAACTTCTTTGCAGAGTACGCAGCTTTCACATTGCAGATCAACTCCTGGTCCATGGGCTGGATTAATGACGTAGTGTTGGGAGGAAGGAAGACCACTTTTACGTTGGGGTGACGATCCATAAGTAGGGGCGAGTGTCCTGGTGCGTTGTCAAGGAGCAACAAAATATTGAATGAAACATTCTGTTGCTCGCAGAATTTCTGCACGTCAGGAACAAAACAGTTGTCAAACCAGAAGAGGGACAGAGAAGAGGACATCCACGCCTTACGTGCGGTTAGCCAGTGGACATTAAGCTTGTTCATGTCCATATTCTTGTAGGCGTGCGGCTTGCGGGCTTTGTGAATCACCGATAACTTTGGTTTACAGGTACCGGAGGCATTGGTGGTAAACAGGACGGTGATGCGTTCCTTCTGCATCTTCCGGCCCCTTACCTTGCTGGCAGACTGGACAACGAAGGTCTTGGAAGGTAACTTTTTCCAGAAAAGACCAGATTCGTCCATGTTAAACACCTGGTCGTCACTGTACTGTCCTTCCTCCATAATCTCACGTAAAAACGGAGGAAAATCTCTAGCCGCCGCACGGTCAGCACTCGCTTCCTCACCACCAATGTTGATGTTGGTGATCTTGTTCCTCTTCTTAAACCTATGCAGCCAACCAGAGGAAGCATTGAAGGGTTTGGGCTCTGCAATTCCCAGTTTACGTGTCACTGCTGCGTATAGCTCACGTGCGTACTCCTGCACTGAGCGCGTGTCCACCGCCATGTTGCGTCGCGCCTGACGCACCAAATAACTCACCAGCAAATTTTCCACTTTTGCCAGCACCCTGTTCTGGCAATACCTGATAGATGAAGCACCTGCAGACTTTGTGATTTTCATGTGCTCTTTGATCTTGGCTGCATCCTTCTTGATTGTACGAATCGTAGATTCGTTGACGCCATGCTGGCGCGCGAGATCAACTTGCCGTCTTCCTTTCTCCAAATCTTGAACAATTTGGTACTTCACCTCGTAGCTTAATGAACGTCGTGTCTTCTTTGGCTTAGTGCCGCTGGGTCCAGGTAAGGAAAGGTCTCTCTCTGGGGGCGGTGGTGGTCCGGCGGAAGCCATTTTACGGAACAATGGATGCGCGTTAACCCGGGGTGGCCTTGAGGGATGAAACTGCCGCGGCTAGGTCAAGCGTCGTCTCTCCTCCCTCCCTCCCTCCCTCGGGGTGGTCACGTCATAATACTTTAAGCCAATTACAGCTAGCAGCAGAGGGGGGTAGGGCTGCATGGCCAATCACAGTCCGAGACGTCATATGACGTCAGTGATAACGCAACAAAGACACACACTGCGCAACCTTACCGCGCCGCTTGCCCAAGCGGAGGGAGGAGGAGGGAGAGGCAGGCAGGCGGGCGGGCGGGTGGCGCGTGGGCAAAATGTAAAAATAGCATCTCGAGCCGGACACTCACCGCGTATATGTGGAAAAAATCCGTGTTAAGTGAAAGTTCAGCTTTGGCAGGGCACCGCGTATATGCGAAAACGCGCTAAGTGAAACCGCGTTAGGCGGGGTAAAACTGTACTTGTTTCCGTTATGAAGAAGAACACATTTCAAGCTCCTTTTAGAACTGTCAATAAAAAGTCTCCAATCCTTACTATCATATGCTGGTAGTCCCATGGAGAGAAGAAGTCCTTCTACATCATTACAAAAACAAGCTGGTCATATGAATGAAAGTACTTCCGCAGTTGCTCTTCTCTGTTGCGATAAAAGGAGACACTCGTGCCAGGTTTTAAGAGTCGTTTCTCTTGAAGCCTGGAAGCTAACAATTCAGCAGACTGTTTTGGCAAATTTAGATCTCTGACCAGATCATTCAATTCTGACTGAGTAAACAACGTTGGCTTTTCACAATCTTCACCAGATGGCTTGAAAAGATCAGTCTCTTCATCTTCATCAGTAGAAACAGGTGAATTCCGGTCTATATCCTCAATCTCTGGTAGCTCAGTAAATTCTGGCACGTTACGTGATGGAGCAAATCTGAGATCAGATTTGGATTCAGCACCTTAAAGTTAGTAAAAAACAGTTAAAAGGTTTCATGCCAGAAAAAAAAAATATTTTTTTGTAGACCAGTGTTATTATTATTACCCCCCTGTATTATTATTATTATTATTATTATTATTATTATTATTATTATTATTATTATTATTATTATTATTATTATTATTATTATTATTATTATTATTATTATTATTATTATTATTATTATATCTTCGCCCCCCCCAGGCCCTGATGTGGGTCAAGTGACCTGTGCCCGGGTGGGCTAATCCCCGTAAAAAAAAAGAAACCATTCCGAGAACATATCCATGCCGAGTTGTATAAAATTCCGAGTTATCGAGGGTTTACAGTATATTAAAAGTCAGGTTACATACACTTCATCTTTCTGTGTATTTTTTCTTTAAAATGATTGTGACTCCATTTCTAATTTATGAAACCAGGAAGAAGAACGAAGGAAACAGGAAGAGGAGTCAAGGAAATTAAAGGAAGAAGAAAAGCAAAATGAGGAGGAAAAACTATTATATCTGGCAGAGCAACGCCGTCGTCAAGAGGAAGAAAGGAAACGGTAAGTGTATTAAATAAAATTACAGTAAACCCTGCCAATACTGTACCAAACTAATCCATACAAGCTCTGTCCATTATTGGGAGAATTTTCATTTTCCCCCATTCCCCACCACATGATTTATGGCTATAACAGGCTCTGTTGCAATGAAGACTGTCTATCAAATGAGAGCCCTGCTATGTTAGACAGCTACTTCTACAGTGGCACCTTTTAATTGATGGATCTCCACAGGTACTCTGTGTGGGAAAATTTCTGAATACCAAGTTATTTCTGGGGAATATCACCTTATTTAATACCATTGTAGTGCAATAACCCTATCTGGTGTCAAGCAAGTGTGTTTTCAATTACAGTTTTTGTGCTTATCTTGTAAGCACTTTCTTCCATAGGAAACACAGCTGGTAAGGTACCATTTTGGTGGTTTCATGGTACCGTACATTTTATTCATTGCCCACTGCACAAACTGGAGACCATAACTCCACTGGTTGCTTTTATTAATGCACATCCAAGTACCTCAGTTTTGCTCGCCTGGTGCACCTCTCACTTCACTGAGGATTGCTCATTTTGGAACAAGCTGTGTACAGCCATCTCTCAATTTATATGGTAGTTACGTTCTTGAGAATGACCGTGTAAATCAAACCTAATTATCCCATAAATAAAGGAAATGGCGGGGGTTAGGGGAAGCGCTCCCTAAAAACTTTAATTTGTGGATCTATTTCCTTCAGTATGTTTTTTTTACAAAAATATATTAACAATAATAATACAATAATAGAAGCAAATCTAATAATACAGTAGTAAGAAAATAGATTTTAAATGAAAATTTGTGCGAACGTAAACATTGAATGATGGCTGAGATGGCATGCAGGAACTAGTGGTGGAGGAGAGGTGGGGGTTACTGGGGGAGTTAGTCATTTGAATCAGATGACAGAGCAGGTGAATGGGGAGAAGTGGGAGCTTTCGAGTTACCATATGTTGATGGCTGAGGTTAAGGTGATTGTTACTCTTTCCTTTTTTGTAAAGTAGGAAAGCAATGAGATGTAGAACTATGCTGCCTGGCGCAATGGGACTCTTTTGAAAACTGTGTTATTTAAAAATAGGTGTTAACTTAATGCTAGTGTTATTTTAAGAACATGCTAATTAAATCCGTGTAAAGTGAGAGGTGACTATACTGCTCCGAGCCCTCATGTCTGTGACTCATCTGTGAGGGTGTGTAAATTCATAAAATTAGAG